TTTAATGTCTGTATTCTCTGGACATGTGTCCAAGTGATGAAAACATTTATTTTCTGGAGAATGGGACGTTCTGGCATAGCACATTTGGTGTCACCGATTCTGCATGACCGACTCAACATAGGAATTTTTCAATAGTGGGACAATTAAGACTCAGATTACTACTTCATCGTTATAGTCAAATTTTCTCTCTCTCTCTCTCTCATTTAGTAGTCAAAATTAGTACTACGTCCAATTTAAGAAAAAGAGCAGTTGGAGGCATTTTTAAATTCAAGAAATAAAAAAAAAGTTATAATGGAAGTTGAATCATTAGATCTTATAGAATTCCTGGAGGGTCTTGCTCGTAATTACAAAATGAAGAAGTAATTTCAAAGATTAAATAGCTTCACTAAGTTTTTTATTTTTTATTTATTTTTTTTTTTTTGAACTACAATATTTTTAATTTAAGTTTTTAATTTACATTATTCCATTAGTGTTTTAATAAGATCCTTAATTCCCTAAATGAATAAAAGGTCATATTGAAAGCTGGGTGTTTTCAATTCTTTTATCCTTTTTTGGGGAGTTGCCTCCAGTCAAAAACAGTGAAATCAAAATAGTCTGACACCTAAACAGCTGTGCCAAATAGTCCAATTATTTTTCTGATGCCGAATTAGCAACGCCAAATGGGCTACACTAAAACATACCAAACGCCGTTTTCTGACCATGAAACTCGGGTTTGAATCTTTCCATTTTCGATCTGTCAGGGAAGTGACTTCTTGACAATATTGGTCTGGGGAGAGGATCCCAGCATGTGGCACCTTTGGAAAGTACTTGAAAATCTAACAACAGGTTAACCTAAACCCTGTGAATGGAATTGAGTAGACAGAACTGTTCAGAAGTCATCAATGGTTGTAATAGTACAAAATCACTGTGAACAAGTTTTTACTGACCTTGATCAAAAAAAAAAAAAAAACTGATGCTGCAAGATTCTGGACCCTCTCTCAGAAAGTTTAACTATGGTCAGCATATTTTTTGTATGTCTGGTTTGGCTAACCCCACCCTGGCAGGTATGTGCACTCAGAAACTAATATATACTGCATCCTCAAATGTATAGAAAAAAAAATTGCACCTCACTTATGTCCCATTCTGGGTATAAACTACATCCACGTCCAGGGTAAAACGATAAACTACGTCCAACAGCAAGGCTTCTGATCAGGTTTTGAGGAGCATGGAACCACCTCTTAATTGCTGGTGTTTCCCAGTTAACTTTGACCCAGGGTGGTAGCACTTGTTAGGGTCCCAGCTATGGGCAAATAGTTAACCCCGAAACTGAGGTAAAAAGCATTATAAAAGTGTAAAAATAGGTTTTAATGACAGAAATACTTTGTAAAAAATTATTACCAGAAATAAATTTTTGAAGAAAAAAAAAATATTACCAGCAATATATTTTTGAAAAAAAATATTACTAGCAATACATTTTTGAAAGAAAAATATAACTAGCAATACATGTTTTAAAATAATATTACCAGCTATACATTTTTGAGGAAAAAAATATTAGCAGAAACAGATTTTTGACAAAACAAAATATTACCAGGAAAAAAAAGTTGTCGGCATTAAATAACCCAATGAGGTTGATATGCTGTAAAACAAAATAAACTAAACCAATCTAAAGCAAAGAATACATATTTTATTCATACGAACCTATTCTAAAAATGTTGTTGGCATTAAATAACCCAATGAGGTTGATATACCATAAAACGCAACAAACCAAGTGAGTAATTCAAAACTTTTTACGAAAATAAAAACATCCAAGATTGTAAATTTCCTAAAAGAAGTTGTACTCAAAAATATGAGTAATTGAAAAATGGTTCAAATATATATATATATATATATATATATATACATACACACCTTTTTTTACCAAACTATTGCTATGAATCTATTTCAAAATTTTGTTGGCATTAAATGACCCACTGAGGTTTTGATATGCCATAAAACAAAACCAACCAATCACTTATGTTATAACACTCTTTGACTATGTCACAATATTCACCACTTCCACGAAATTCCACATTTATCTCTACCTATTCTGATGATGACTTAAGAAAGTTGAAAGATTAGACTATATTTCTTGTACTTTTCTTTTAAAATGAAGTTTGGACAATTCCTGATGGAATTTTCTCCTTGTCTGAGAAGGATTATTCGCAATTTGTAAGAAAAAAGTGACAAGGTGGATGAAGGCAGAATTAGAATCTACATACATCAACGATGTCTGAGGAATTTTTTTTTTTTTTCCAATTATCAAATAAGATGGAGAGTCATGGATAAACTGTCCAATGGTCATGTTTTGTTCAAGTTTTTTCAACCATCTTCGTCATTTTCAAGAATTCTGTACTCTCTGTGAGATATAGAAGATTCTGTTGGCTATATTTATATATATATATATATATATATATATATAAAAAACTCAATTGTCATGACCTGATGATTGTTTTTATGCATGAAACATACTATTTGGTGTTGACCTCAATGTTCATTTTTTATATTTACATACACTCTATCCCTGATATTGAATAGTTTAACACATAAATATAGCATACCTTAAAACTACACACACACACATATATATATATATATATATATATATATATATATATATATATATATATATAATAAGTGTTAGGTACCTATTCTTTGGTAATGGACTCTCCCATAGATAATAAGTAGGAGTAGCAGTGGCAAGTCTGGCAGAATGGTGTTGAGCGCGTCAGTCGAGATTCGGACATTTGAAGTACCAACCATCACAACTAGATTTGCTGCGTCATTGACTATTGTATTCCAAGTTCCTAACGTTTTGTACGACTTATTAGAAATACAAGCCTCCACTGTGAAAATACTCCACAACAATAAGTTATGAAGAATTTGGTAAACCGAATTGATAATTCCAAGGAGGATGAAATCCTGAGAGCTCAATGTGAAGAACAGAGCTAATATATAATGAAAAACAGACCACTTTAAGGTACCATTACAATAATTTATTTCACCAAAATCCTTTTTAAAAGATTTTGATCATCAGGTAACACTTCCAACATTTTTCCTCTCATTTCACTGTTGGAAGTGTTACCTGATGATCCGAAATCTATATATATATATATATATATATATATATATTACATGAATCATTCATACAAAAAAAACAAATATAGAGGTTAATGATTTAAATGGTGAGAATACATCTTCACAAACAATTTCAATAAGTTACACTGCCCCCGAACCTGTATATGAATGATATGATCCCTGTTTATAAATTCCAGTTTCATAAGGTCTTTTTTAGTTTTTACAAGCTTTCGTCTGTTCCTACAGACATCCACAGGTATGGAAATAGATTTTTTCTTGTTTTTTACTTCTCAGTAATTCTGATTCATGTAATTACAAATTGAACTGCACCTATAATCGAAATATATATAAATGATAAAAATATACAGTTTTAAAATATGATTGTAGTTATCAGGGAAGCAAGAAAACGGAAAGGAGTGCCAAGTGCGAGAAATAAATTCTTGCAGTTGAAGTGGTGGTTGCATTTAGCTGTCTCAACAGTAAACGGGTGGGACCTAATTGCCAATCTAGTAGCACGCTTAAATTCATGTAGTCGAGGCATCAGGGAAAAAGCTCATCAGAAAAATTACCAGCAGTACATTTTTGGAGAAAAAAAAATACCAGCAATTTTTGGAAAAAAATTATTACAGTAATAAAAATCTAGTGAGCATTAAATAACCCATTGAAGTTGATATGCCGTAAAAGAAACCAGACCAAACCTGGCGAAAAAAAAAAAAACCTGGCACAACACAGCGAACCATCTTCTCTTGCAGTAAAGGAAGAAATTGATTTTAGTATAATCTCTCCACTTCATGTCAGAAGAAAAGTTAGTCGCTCAAGTCTTGAACGACACATCGGTTGAACTCTCTGCCTTCGGGCGGGGAGGAACCCGAAGGAGGCTACGCCGAAGGGCAGATTCTCTTTCGGGGAGGTAAACCGACCTTGAACCCGTTTATACGGGTTCAATGGGCATATTTTTGGTCGAGCCCACGGTCTCGGAGATCCCACGTTAAAAGGCCTTGTGCCACATGACTATATTTAGTCGTCCCCCACGAGGGCGTCATGGGCACAAGGCCTTTTTAACGTGGGCATTTCAACCATTAGGCTCGGCCAAAAAATAGCCCATTTGAACCCGTATAAACAGGTTCAGGGTCGAGCTTTTACCCCGAAGGAGACTCCGCCTTCGGCGTAGCCTCCTTCGGGTTCCTCTCCGTCCGTAGACAGAGAGTAGAACCGAACCGTCGCTCAGAAAGTAAACGACAGACTCAACCTTGTGCCACATGACGCCCTCGTGGTGGGGGTGACTGAATATCGTCAGAGAAAAATGTGAGCCCGACAAGGCGGAACTGATATATTTGCATTCTGAATTTTAATATAAAAAAATAATAATTAAATTATGCATGAAAAAGAAAAAAAAATTGCCCCAAATCTGGGACACAGTAATTTTATTATGACAAATATTCCAGTTTAGTGGTAATTTATCTCTCCTCATATTCAGATGGGTCTTCTTTCGTCGGGGTTGACGACCCACCATAACTCGTCCAGTAGGGGTATTGAACGTGTTGTTTTACTTGCTCTGAATCTTTTCCTTCAAAGACTGTAACAACCCACCCACCACAAAAAAGTACCAAAAAAAAAAAACATGTTTTACCTGTTCCTCTGCTGACGTACCGGGTGGAGATAAAAATGGTCGTTGATGTCTAAGACAGGAACAGAAAATAAAACATTTTTTTCCGTGTAGGCGTTTTCTTGTGAGGATCATTATCTACAAGAAACAGTCAAAAAATAAGATGCTTTATTGCACCTGTATATACGCAGATAAATCCAGATTTTTACGTGTCAACTTAGCCGTGACGTCACAATGTAGCGAGGTTTCGAGAACGCCATTCGAAAGTAGTACACCTCAGTAGCTGTCTGGCCATTGACGTATGAGTTGCTTAGTAATCGATATGTCTTCAAAATACGATCGTCGAGCTGATATTGTGGAGAGCCTTCGCTCCGGCCACAAAGCCAAGGAAATCATTGAATGGTTCAAATACCCTAAAACCATGTTCTATGATTTTGCAAAGGCATATGGGGCCTCAGACGATAAGGACAATTTGAGGCCAGAATGCAAGACCCATAAGAAACAGTCTGGCGCCACCAGGACACCCGAGTTCGTCGCCGACGTTGTCAAAGAGAACCCAAGAAAAAGCATGCGGAAAATTGCCAAAGAAATGAGCATCAACAGGCGAACAATTGGACGTATTATCACGGAGGACTTGAATTATAAATCTTATGTGCTCAAACGGCGCCAATTGCCTACCGTACCACTAGTCGCCCGACTTACGGTCCCCAACCTCTCTCATTGCCAGACTGCAATATTCTCGACTATTTTGTGTGTAAAGTTTTCAAGGCAGTCATTAGGGACACCATGGCAAATATGGACACTGATGCCGTCGCCAAAGCCTGCTCCAGCTTCCTGTCCCGCCAGGAGAAAGTGGTGGCCACCATGTGTGCGGCAGATAAATCCGGATTTTTTACGTGGCAACAGCGCTGTGACGTCATCGAGGTTTCGAGAGTCCCTTAAAAAGTACTACACTCCAGTAGCCGTCTGGCTATTGACGCACGAGGTGTTTAGTAATCGACATGTCTTCAGAATACGCTCGTTGCTGATGTTGTGGAGAGCTTTCACGCCGGCCACAAAGCCAAGGAAATCATTGAAGGGTTCAAATACCTTAAAACCATGTTCTATGAATTTGCAAAGGCATATGGGGTTTCAGAAGACAAGGACAATTTGAGGCCAGGACGAAAGACTCCTAAGAAGCGTTCTGGCGCCACTAGGACGCTTGATTTGGTCCCCGACATCACCGAGGTTGTCCAGGAGAACCCCAGCAAAAGCATGAGGAAAATCTCCAAATAAACGATCATCAACAAACAATCGGACGTAGTGTATAGCCTGACGTGCCTTTAACCGATTTAAGAGAGGTGGTGCATTAAATTCAGTAAAATCGGCCTTGCTAACCGAAATGTTCCTCTGTGGTGAAATCGGTAAAAGCACGTCAGGCTATATGACGGTTCCGTATAGGATACAGGTTCGATTCCTGTCGGAGGACGCATATTTTTTTATCAGAATTTCTCGGATATTCAGGCTGGTAAATGTTATTAATACTGTTTATTATAAACAGAGCATTTACTTAAATATTTGTATCTATAAAAAGAACGTATAGACATAACAATGTCTGAAAAATAATTGTCGGACTTTGTCCATTTCATAATGTGCAACACAAGATATGCAGATGACACAGTGTTAATAGCAGACACAGAATGGAGACAACTACAGAGACTCGTGAATGAAAATGAGAAGAAAGGACTAAACACCACTTGCAAGAAGATTGAATGCATGGTTGTTAGCAAAAGGCATGAGACGAACATGCAAATTACAAATTGAGGATACCAATATCATAAGAGTATAAGATGTTTAGATAGGGACGGAATTTTTACTACGTTGCTGTGGGCACCACTTTCCATGCATACACCTTTGCTTGTATAAGATGCTTTGAAAAAAACTCACCGTCCAAATTTATCGACATAAAACGAAAGCTTGTTAAAGTTAGGATATAAAAAGTAAGGGGAAGTAACTCTTACTTAACATGTAAGAATTAGTGAAGGAAAAAGAATATTCGTGCAACAATTCTTAGCTCGTAAAAGTAGTAGAGCTGAATTATGACTAAAATTAGTGTGAAGAGACGTGGAATCCATGTTACATTTTTGTTATGGTGAAACGCACCTATTCTATAGTTAATAGACTCTCCCACCTAATATAAGTAGGAGTAGTAAGAGAAACGAGGGTCAGTCGATGTCGGACGACTGGCTGATCGGTTGAACTCTCTGCCTTCGGGCGGGGAGGAACCCGAACGAGGCTACGCCGAAGGACAGAGACTCATTCGGGGAGGAAACCGACCCTGAACCCGTTTTTACGGGTTCAAAGGGTATATTTTTGGCCGAGCACACGGGTTCGGAGATCCCACGTTAAACCGGCCTTGTGCCACATTATACCCTCGTGGAGGGGTGACTAAATACTAGTCGATGTCGGACGACAGTAGTCGACAGTTAGTCGAATACGAAAGTAGTCAGCGACCACAACAAGATTACTCTGCGTAATACCTATTATATCAAGTTCCTAACGTTTTGTACGTCGAACCGATTTTAGGACCGATTTAGTACAAATACAAGCCTCCACTGCGAAATAACTCCACAACACATTTCTATTACCACATTTATATACAAAGTCTTTAGAAGTATTAAAAATTAATATGCCCATCTTGCCAAATAAATTGTCACACATTGGGAAAATTAAGCAGTCATATCAGCTAATAAAAGCACTATTGTCCTCATCTTTGTTGTTGCTATCACAACGCTTCGGCCGTTGTGTCCTCTGGCCTTCATCAGGTGCATATCGATCTGGTTAACGTATAGGAAATTCTGAACTGAACCTATTATTTAATCTCTAGGGAGGGACACTTCTCTTTCCACTTCTCATGTCTAGGGATAGCTCGTCTAGTTCTTGTTTTTATTTAGTACTGTTCAGTACACATTGCCTGATCCGGGAATTGAACTCACAACCACCATGTCACCAAATTCATAAACACACGCTTTTTTTTTTATCCACTAGTCCACTGTCCCATATTGAAAGAGTGTAAATAATGATAAATCTTCACCCCGTAATTCAGGAAAATAATAAAATAGAGGTTGTGCATTAAATTCTGTTTAAAATGACAATATCACCTTCCGTATTTGACAGGGGGAAAACCACGAGTGTATGACAGCCATATTTAAGCAGGGGTTATTAAAAAAATAGTTGCTTAGTACCATGACTGCTACACTATCTTTAGCTATGTTTCTTATTCGGCACAGTTCAAAACAAGTTTCTTTTTCGGTATGCATGGCAATATATATATATATATATATATATATATATATATATAATTTCTCAGAATTAATCTGTAGTAAAAGACAATATGTATAAAGAAAAGAAGACAAAGCCGACGCGTTTCGTCTAATGTAGACAACAAATATATACAATGTGCACAACAAATATATCAAGAAATCAAAAGAAAACGGTTGAATCTGTCAACACAACAATACAAACAATATTTCTACATGAGAAAATATTCTCTTCAAATATAAATTGACGTAATTTTTCAGTTGACCATATAAATATATAACAGTGTTTCTAAATTCTTCTAGTTGCTAACGACATTTTGTTTCTTGTTTATAGATACTTTGTTTCAATGTATTCATTTCATTTTTTTGTCTTGAAAAAGTCCACATTGGACGAAACGCTTCAGCTAAAACTACAGTTTTCCTATTGTCTTTTTTCCTTATATATATATAAAAATTTTTAATGAAAAACAGACACTTTAAGGTACCATTACAATAATTTATTTCACCAAAATTCTTTTTAAAGGATTTCGGATCATCAGGTAACACTTCCAACAATGGTGAAATAAATTATTGTAATGGTACCTTAAAGTGGTCTGTTTTTCATTAAATATTAGCTCTGTTCTTCACATTGAGCTCTCAGGATTTCATCCTCCTTGGATTTACCAAATCGGTTTACCAAGTTCTTCATAACTTAAATATATATATATAATGTTATCCAGGCAAGATAATAAAGCCACTAAGATTCAAGGGGTTACCGAGTGTGTGTGTATATGAGAAAAAATATTAAGCAGAGAGAACCAGGAAAAAATAATAAGCAATAATTAACAAGACAGAAGATAATGATTGACATTGCATTTAAATTTTTGAAGTTCAAAGTTGATTGGAAAGCAAAAAGCCGGAAGAGAGTTCCACAAGCGATGAGTTCGAGAGAATAAACTGTTAGTATAGAACTTACGGTTAGATCTATCTAACTCAATTATAAATTGATGTGACTTTGCCGCTAATCTGGAACTGCGCTTAAATTCATAAAGGTACCATAGAGGAAAGTTCATCAGAACAATTACCATGGAAATATTTATAGAAAAGGCACAGGGAAGCTACATTATGGTGATGAGAAAGTGACTGAAGCCGAGATGCCAGGTCAGGACTATTGACATTGCAGTTTCTTTTGCTTTTATCAAGAATCTCTAAATATATAGCAGGAGGGTAAGATAATATGTGACAGAAATATCCAATGCAAAGACGATTGGTATACTTATAACTATGTACGATAGATTCTGGTGAGAAAAATTCTCTAGCATGACACAAGGAACCAATAGTTTGCTTTAACATTGTTGTATATAATCCACTTTTCATCGTCTCTTATGAAATATTTAAGTAACGATTAGTTAAGATGAAACATTCGTCATTACAATTGGTTCCCCAAAACGGAAATGACTTCTGACACAACTTAATATATTTACTCACATTTGTTACGTAGCGATTAAATACAATCTTTATCACACGCCCGTCGCCGTGTGTATGTAAGTTTGAGTATATATTTGGCATTACTATCATTCTGTCTTATGTCACGAATCTGGTTGGTCCAGTAAGAAATAAATTAGACGGGCTTGCTTGTCATTGTCGAAAATGTCCTTTTGTAATGTAACAGCAATATTTGGGCGAGGTGCGTCACTAAAACGCGGGAAACATCTTTAACAGCACAGGACTTGACAGACTGCCAGGGTGTGGAGATTATAAATTACACTTTAACATATCTTTACAGGATAACATTTTTTTCACCGTATATACTCTAGTATAATGCTAGTCTTTATATGTTTTGTACGTCAAAAAAATGGAAGGTTGCACTATACACAGGTAATTTTTTTTGAAGTGGTTAAAAATCAGGCATTTCGGTGACCGGTTGCATAAAAAAACGAAACGAAGATTAATACAAATCTAGAAAGGGAAAAAAACTATTAATTCTTCATTTATATAAAGTAGCTGTTGATTTTAAGTGGTATACACAGCAGGATGGTATTTATCAATCCACCCACGGGGATCGAATGTGGCACAAGGCCTTTTTAATGTGGGTATCTCTGAGCCCGTAGGCCCAGCCAAAAATAAATAACCATCCAAACCTGCCGAGGCGAGACAGTTCCGTCAACCTCCCCCAACGAAACCCTACCCTTCGGTAGAGCTTCGTCCGGGTTCCTCTCTGCAAGCAGAGTTCGACAGACACCCGACCCGGCAGCTCACAAAGCACAGATATTACACTTTGATCCTAGCCACCGGGCCGAGCGGGATATAACACAGCAGGATGTCTACTAACCGCCTCACACAGTCAAATGTGGCACAAGGCCGAATTTAATGTGGGGTATCCGAGTCCGTAGGCTAGGCTAAAAATTCCCCGTAGCTTTGGGTGGCTGTTTCCTGAGACGAGACTCAACATAGCCTCTTTTGGGGATTCTCTTTGCCCGGTGGCAGAGAGTTTGACCAGCACAGCTGGAAACAAATCTCTAACTGGTATACATAGAAGATGAGATTTTGCTCTTCACGTAGCGACAAAAGGGGCGTAACTCAAGCTACATAGGAGGCAAGCCCAGGACGAAGGGGCTACCGTAGTCAGGCATGGACGAAAACAAA